GGCTCTGCAGCAGGCCCCAGGGCAGGGGCTTAGCACCCTCTTCACCTGCCCCTCCCTGTCCCGGGTCCGGGTCCAGGCCCAGGGAGCGCGGGGCTGCTCTGTCCCCTAGACACCCTCCCCTGCTGAGCCGCCTCTCTGGCTGGGTTCGCTGAAACTCCTGCAGTCAGGTTCCCTGGGCCCTGGTGCATGATGCATCCTTAGGGCTTAACCCGTTCCTGCCCGTGTTGTAGCCAGGGGACAGGAGGTGGCTGGGCTATGTCGGTGGCCAGCAGCAGCCTGGAGGTGTTAGCTGCCTTTCGACACTGTGCAGGCAGGAAGGGACAAGCTGCTTCCAGCCATACGGGCGGGGGTCGGCGAGAAGAGATCAGCTCTGCAAAGACATGGGCCAGGTCATTCCTTCCTTCCCTCCCCGTATCCCCCTGCCGCCCCTGAAGCTGGAAGCAGCTCTCATCCCTTCCCTCTTGCACAGTGCCAAAAGGCTGCTGCAGGCCACATTCTGGTGTGCACTCTAGCAGAAATCTGGAGAGCGGGGGCATGAGATCCTGCATGCCCCCTCCCCACTTGTGTTTCCTCGGGAAGACATGGCATGAGGTAGCAGGAGAGGCGTGTCCGTCCCAGGGGCCCAGACAGGCATAGAGGGTGGAGTGTTCCCAGCAGGAAGGAGAGGGTCAGTCGGTCACCCCCCCACCCCCTCCATGAGAGAGAGGGGTGTGTGTGTGTGACATCTCCCTATGTGTATAAGTGGGGGAGGGTAGCGGTGTGTGTGTCACCCCTCCCCATGTGAACCCTAAAGCCTTAAAGATAAGATGATAAATAAAAAGAATCCAACTACCAGTATTTCTTTTTAACAGGGGCTCAGTCAACTTGATGTTAATTTGAACGTTTGCACTGCATAGTTCTGATTGAGTGCCATTGAACTCGCTTGAATACGAGTAATTTTACCAGGTGTCCCGTATTCAGCATTGGAAAATATGGTCACCCTATCTATAAATAGCCTCCAGGGAACTTTCAAAGGATTTACTTTGTGGCTGGATAGACCTGATGCTAGGAGAGAGTTAGAAGCAGGAAACTTAAAACAGGTGCAAAGTTATGAGTACAGTAAAATGACCCTATCCCAAGCTGTCCAAGGTCTATTCTGAAGCCAGTGCTGTTTCCAGGGGCCTTGCTGTGATCTGATCCCATGTCCCTTTCCTCACCACATACCTCCAGTGGTGCAGAGGAACTTGCTCCGCTCAAGGACACCCCTCCCATCCAAACCAGACTAAAAAGGAAAGCAGAAGCTCTCAGTATCACACTTCCAGGAGCTCCTGTACACCCCAGGTCTCAAGTAGAGCCATGAGCTCTGCCTCCATGAGCTACTACATGGTGAGTCTGTCAAGAACCAATGGTATTTAGATCTGCAAGGGCTGCTTTTGCTGCATGTGCCAAGGGTTGCAGGGATGCTTACTTGGAAAGCCCTGCCCAAATTGTGTCCTGGCATATGTCTCTTTCACACATGAGAGAAGAATCTACTGTTCTCTGTGGGTTCAACTGCTTTATTCTCTACAACCATCTTCCAAAACTGAGTATGCCAGGTATCCTCATGTACCTCACAGGGGTGCCTGGAGATGACGCAAACCCAAGAGGAGGGATGCTTGCCCCTAGAGCCACTCTGGGACACTGGAAGATGGAGCTTGTTGGATTGTACAGGACAGCATCTCCAGCAATGTAGCACTGCTGCTCCTTTTGTAGATTATTTTTTAAACTAGAAAGGACCAATGTAATCATCTAATCCAGGGGTGGGCAAACTTTTTGTCCCAAGGGCCACATCTGGGTTTGGAAATTGTACGGTGGGCAATGAATGCTCACAAAATTGGGGTTGGGGTGCAGGAGGGTGTGAAGACAGTGGCTGGCAGTGCAGGCTCCAGGGTGGGGCCAGAAATGAGGAATTCAGGGTGCAGGAGGGGGCTCTGGGCTGGGGCAGGGGGTTGGGGTACAGGGGGGGGTGAGGGCTGCGGCTGGAAGTGCAGGCTCTGGGGTGGGCTTGGGGATAAGTTTGGGGTGTAAGAGGATGCTCTAGTCTGGGATGGAGGGATTTGAAGGGCGGGAGGGGGATCAGGGCTGGGGCAGGGGATTGGGGCCCTAGAGGGAAGCAGGGTTGCAGTCTCTGGGCGGCACTTACCTTAAGCAGCTCCTGGAAGCAGCAGCATGCCCCCCTCCAGCTCCTACACAGAGATGTGGCCAGGGGGCTCTTCGCGCTGCCCCGTCTGCAGGTGCCACCCCTGCAGCTCCCATTGGCCGCAGTTCCCGGCCAATGGGAGCTGTGGGGGTGGCGCTTGAGGCAGAGGCAGCGTGCGAAGACCCCTGGCTGCCCCTATGTGTAGGAGCCAGAGGGCGGACATGCCGCTGCTTCTGGAAATTGCGCAGAGCTGCAGCACGCGCGGCGTGCCCCCTGACCCTGCTCCCCAGCTGGAGTGCGGGAGCAGGGCAAGCCCCAGACCTTGCTCCCCACTGGGAGCTCGAGGGCCGGATAAAATTGGCTGGTGGGTCGGATGTGGCCCACGGGCTGTAGTTTTCCCACCCCTGATCCAATCTGACCTTTTGCATAATACAATATAGAAAACCTCATGCAGTGATTTCTGCATTGATCCCATAATATCTGTTGAGTTAGAACATCTCTTTGTAAAAAGATATGTAGTCTAGATTTAAACCCTTTGAGTTCTGGAAAAGCCACCACATCCCTAGATGATGTGTTCCAATGGATAATTACTCTCACTATTAAAAATGTGCATCTTTATTTCTGGTCTGAATTTGACTAGTTTCAAAGCTTCCAACCACTGGATCTTGTTATCCCCTTTTCTGCTAGATTAGAGATTACTATCAGCAACATCAACCCCAGGGGAGCCAACCTGAGCCTGAAAAGGAGCCAGAATTTACCAATGTACATTGCCAAGAGCCACAGTAATACATCAGCAGCCCCCGCTCCCAGCGCCTCCTGCCCACAGGCAGCCCCTTCGATCAGCGCCTCCCCCTCCTTCCCCGCACCTCCCAATCAGCTGTTTCGTGGCATGCAGGAGGCTGGGGGGGCAGGGGTGTGGAAGGAAGGGGGAGGAGCGAGGGCATGGCAGGCTCAGGGGAGAGTGGGAAGGGGTGGAGTGGGGGCAGGGCCTGTGGCAGAGCCAGGGGTTGAGCAGTGAGCACCCCCTGGCACACTGGAGAGTTGGTGCCTGTAGCTCCAGCCCCAGAGTCGGTGCCTGTACAAGGAGCCGCATATTAACTTCTGAAGAGCCTCATGTGGCTCCGGAGCCCCAGGTTGGCCACCCCTGACCTACCCTGTGTAGGACTTGTTACTAGAGCATTGCGTACCTCTTAACCTTTTTTTTTAGTGATGTAAATAGTGAGATGTGAGAAGCTTCATCTATAAGGCACGGTTTCCAGATGTCAACTCATTCTTGTAGCTGTTCTTTAATGCCCTATCAGAGTGTTAGGAGATAGATGGCAGGGCACTGTGCTGCTCTGCTGGCATGGCAGTAGATTGAACAGGCCCAGTTCTCTACTCACCCCAGTGCAAACTGGGGATTAGTCCAGTGATTTCAGTGTTACATTGGTATGAATCTGGTCATGGAAAGTTGTTATTTACAAGAGAGTGACAAGTGGAGGATGGGGACTTCTGGAACGTTGCATCTAAAAAGAGACAGAGGCTTGAGGTAATGCATTATGCTTCAATAACAGAACTAAGAAGGGAAGTGGGTTAGAGGCAGTCACAGTCCCTTTTCATGGTGCATTCTAACCTGTTCTTCCTTGCTTCAGCCTCAAGCAGGGGAAAATAGAGCAATGGAGACTTTTGCAGTCCCAGACTCCCTTTACATAAGTGTAGCCACAGGCCAGGGAATCTGCTCATACCCCACACTCATGCAGCATCAACCAGAAATGCAGCTACAGCTTGTAAGGTTTGGTCCTTAAGGGCAGCTTTGTTGCTAACAAAGGAAGAGCAGGATGTGGTAAATGCTCTTAGCTGAAGAACCAAAAATGACAGAAGAAGCCACAATTCCATTCCAGAGTTGCTGGGGAAATGCTCTTATTGCTTTGTCTACACTTGGAAATACCAGAATAGCTATTCTTGAATAACTATTCTAAAATAGTTATTCCAGATAAATTCTCATATGGACAGTCCTACTAGTCTAGTACATTTCAAGTGTAGACTAGCCCTTAGGTTTCACCAACTAACTCCTCAGAATTTAAGGGCAGTATTTCTAACATACTAATAATCTAATCAGGCTAACTAATATCACATTTGTTAGGATTCAAGTTAGTGAAAATTGCCAGATGGCCACTACACAGACAAATCCTTAGCATGAATCGCTATGTTGGGTGTTATTTTTAAAATGGTTGACTCCTAGTGTGCCAAAACCAGTGGTCTCGCAGAGTTTTGAAGCATTATTTCAAGATAATCTGTGTTATAGCCAATTAGCTTTTGTCCTGGGCTGGGCTGCAGAGTACTGGCGTTTCCAGTGCATATTTAATACTAAAATAGAATGTGAGAATCTGCAGCTCAGTTAGACTGTGCGCACATTAGAGACCTGCCCTCTCCCTCTGCTGAGCTGGATCTGTGTGCTCTCTGCAGGAGGCCAGGCCAGCACTGTAGCCTGTCAGAGGGAATGCCTGGCCCTTTCCTTCAGTCCCCACTAATCCTCTGGAAATCCGAGCAAGGCAGCAAGAAACCTGAGACTCCTGGCTCTCTCTGTTCTAGCTGCACCCAGCAAGGAGCTCTGCTCAGCCTGAGTCATCTCAATGTCCCTATTTTGAAATCTTAAAATAATATCTAATCCCTCAGGAAATGCCAGAAATTTTCATAATCCAGGTCCAATTCTGAGGAAACATAGGGGAAGGAAGAAGGGACGTAGAGGGGAGAGGGATCAAAGATGAGATCCGAAAGGAAGAATAGGTAAGCTGCAAAGGGGAAGGCACGGGTGCTTGGCTGAAATACCAACAGGTGTGCACATACATAACTCTATTTACAGGAGTAAAATGCTGAAGATCGTGCTGTGTCTGCTCCAAGTGTCAGATCCCTGTTCCCCACACCAGCTCATCCTGAGGACTGCAGCAAGCCTCTGGCATGGAGGAGTGGGGATGCCAGGAGGACCCTGCAGAGTACTGTGCAGGTGAGTCCCAACGAGTGTTACCAGTTTGGTATCCAAACCTCCTTGCAGTTCAGCCTGGGAGATTTGTAGACTCTGGGCTGAATTGTTGAGGTCAGTCCCTCTTTCTGTTTGGTAGTGTTTTGAAGACCTGTCCCACTAATGGAGCTATTGGTGATCCATGTCTGTAGGAGGCTACTACCCTGTGCAGAAGGGAGACACATTCAGTGGAAGATACCAGGTGGTGCACAAGCTGGGCTTTGGCTACTTCTCTACAGTCTGGTTGTGCCAGGACATGGTGTGAGTAGCACAATAGAGACTATTCCAAAAGGAGGGGAACTCTGTAGAATGGGGCTGTAAAGGGAAGTTTAGAGTCCATCCAGGGGGGAAAGGGGAGGAATTGACCCTCTCTATCTGAGCAGAGGAAGGAACAACCCAGAGGAATAGCCTGCCCTGAAGGCAGGGATGTGGGGGGTGGTGGGAGGGGATCAGCAGAGCTAGCTCAGCTGTGAGGCATTATTTCCCAAGCAGCCAATTACAAGAGGGCCCCGTTGAAGTGAGTGGGGGGTGACTCTGACAGCAAGAATCAGAGGGGAAGGATCTCTAGGAAGGGAGCTGGTGCTTGGACACTAGGCAAACAGTCTAGGTTAGACAGAAGGGAGATGACATTGGTGGGTGGAATGCTTTATAGTCTGCGGTGCTGAGCTGTGCCTGCAGGAAACCCTACTGGATTTGTATTTGGCTCTGAAGGGGACAGGTCTTTCTTTATATTTACTTTTCTGATTTATAATGTGCTCTATCTCAGCCTGGCCAGACCTCTTCTGCTCCCAGAGGGCGATGAAGCTCTAACATTAAAATAATAGTTGCCAGAGGGAGATGAATACAGGTCTCCACCCTGCTGTATGTAGAAGGTATGAGGGTGGGGGTGTTAGAGGCAGAGGAGAGGTGTAGGGAAGGCTCTCTCAGTACAGAGCACAGGCATTGGGGGGTCACTACAGGGAAAGGAAAGACATGGAGACTCCTCCAGGCTGTATGGTGGGAAGCTGGGCGGACAGAACTTTTGTGCACTGGTCTGCAGGTGTGATTCCTTTCACAGAGAGAAGCGGCATGTAGCTGTGAAGGTGGCCAAGGGTGGGGAGAGCTTTGCTGAGGCTGCCCAGGATGAAATCTCTCTCCTCCAGTGTGTATGTACCTTTCCAGAGAGCATGTCGGCTCATTCGGTTTCTGCACTGTAGGGAGTGCAGCTGTTTTCAGAGCTCTGCAATACTAGTCCACTCCTCCAACAGGTCTCAGCCTGATGGGAGCCTGGCTGGCACCAGGGAGAACACATCAAACTCTATGTAGAAAAGGGCCTCAGGTCCAGCATTTGCTTCGGAAGCAGCCTCCCATCCCAGGGTATGTTTATTTCTGGTATGTTTAGTGATCATTCTGTTCTTCTCTGAGTGCATGCAGACATGTATTCCACTCAGGTGGGCATGCACCCAGTGCACTGAAGCTGGAGAACTTTGCCTAACAGTACCTATGGGCAGTGCTCAAGCCTTGTGGCTCTTGCCCTTCCCCTAGCTATTTAAGGATAGCAGCACCCTGACCGGTCTCACTTCCTTCTCGCTCCCTGTGGCTAGAGTTTGAGCATTCTGTGGTGCTTTACTTTACATGTTTTTTCCTCAGTTTCTCTAGGAATTTATTGTATATAGTTCATTGTTAATGTGACTTAGTAGTGCTGGCACCATTCCAGTCTGACCCAGCGTGGTCGCCTGGCAGGGAGGTGTAGTATTGCAGATGAGCCCTTATTTGATCTTCCCCTCACCCAGGGTTTCAACGAGTTCAAACAGCCCTTTTAAGTGCTAACAAGCAGCTCCTTGTGGACTCCTGATGCCAGTCCATCTAACTGCCTCTGGTTTTGGCCATGGGACGTATATTGAGTTTGGTATTGATAATGGCAGCATCAGCAATGTAGAACCGTAGGGCTAGAAGGGATGGCAACGGTCATCTAATCTAACCCCCTGCCAAAGTGCAGGATTTGTTGTGTTAAACCATCCAAGACAGATGGCAATCCAGCCTCCTTTGGAAACCTCCACTGAAGGAGGTTCCACGACCTCCCGAGGCAGTCAGTTCCACTGTCCTTATAGTTAGGAAGTTTTTTCTGTGCTTTAATCTAAATCTGCTATGGTTTGAACCTATTGCTTCTTGTCCTGCCCTTGGTGGCAAAAGAGAACAACTTTTCTCCATCTTTTTTGTGGCAGCCTTTCAAGTAGCTGAAGACCACTATCAGATCCCCTCCCTTAATTTCCTCTTTTCGAAACTAAACCAGTTCCTTTGCTCATATGGCTTGCATTCCATCCCTTTGGTCATCTTTGTTGCTCTCCTCTGGATCCTTTCCAGTTTCTCTGTCCTTTTTATACATTGGTGACCAAAGTTGGACACCACTACTCCAGCTGAGATCTAACCAGCGCTGAATAGAACGATACTATCGCCTCCCGTGACTTGCATGCTATGCCTCTGTTAATGCAATCTAAAATTGCATTTGCTTTTTTTTTTTTTTTGACAACAACATTGCACTGTTGACTCATGTTGAGGCTTTGATGTACCACAACTCCCAGATCCTTCTCAGCAGTGCTACTGCCAAGCCAGTTTCCCCCCATTCTGTATTTGTACATTTGATTTTTCTTCCCTAAGTGTAGCACCTTACATTTGTCTTTGTTGAATTTCATTTTGTCGTCTATAGTCCAGTTCTCCAATTTATCAAGATCCTTTTGAATTTTAGATCTATTCTCCAAAGTATTGGCAACCTCCCCCTACCCCTGCCAGCTTTGTGTCATCTGCAAACCTGATCAGTCTGCTCTCTGTATCTACATCCAGGTCATTAATAAAGATGTTAGACAACACTAGACCCAGAACAGATTCCTCTAGAACTCCACTTGAGACCTCTCTCCAATCCAACAACATTCCAATAATAGTTACTTTTTGTTTGCAGTTGTTTAATTATGTATGTATTAATGGTAGTTCTGTTAAGCCTGGTTTTCTCCAGCTTACTTATCAGAATGTTATGTGGGACTGTGTCAAAAGCCTTGCTGATGTCCAGGTATATTATGTCCACCACATTCCCCCTATTCACCAAACCAGTTACCCTGTCAAAGAAGGAAATAAAGCTTTTTTGGCATGATTTGTTCTTGGTAAATCCATGCTGGCTGCTGGTGATCACCCTCTGTCCTTCAGGTATTCACAAATGTAATGTTTTATACATTGTTCTCATAGCTTCCCAGGTATCAAAGTAAGACTGACTGGTCTATAGTTCCCCAGCTCCTCCTTTCCCCCCCTTTTTTAAAAGATGGGCACAATGTTAGCTCTTCTCCAGTCTTCCAGGACCTTTCCTGTCATCTATGAGTGGCTCCGTGATTTCTTCAGCTAATTCCTTCTGTACGCTTGGGTTGATAGCATCCAGCTCCACTGATTTTAATTCATTCAAATTGGTCAGAAGATCTCTGACATGTTCTTACTCATCCCAATCTGCATCTCTTCCTCTTCATTGTCTGTGGTAACTTCATTGTCTGTGGTAACTGTGGAATCATCTGGTCACACTCTATTTTTTGTGAGACAACTGATGCAAAGTAGTCATTGAGTAGCTTTGCCTTTGTATCCTCTTCCATGCCCCTCCTTCCATTTCCTGTATTTATCCCTTTGGGGTTTTAGATATCTAAAAAGCTCCTTGTGCAGCCAGATTGGCCGCCTGTGGCTTTTCTTGTGTTTCCTCTGCAAGATGTTGAGCCTCTAGTATTACATCTTTTAAGAACTGCCAGCCTCCTTTGACTTCTTTTCTTCCTAATTGGTCTTTCCATGTGACCTTGCCTACTATTTCTCTGAGTCAAAGGCAGATTTCAGCTCTGAGGTCCAGTGTCCTTGTTTTGCTGTTTTCATGTCCTCCTTTCCATAGAATCTTGAATTTTATCAAATCACAATCACTTCCTCCCAAATTCCCAACCACCTTTATGTTCTCAACTAATTCATCCCTGTTGGTCAAAACCAGATGCAAAATGGATGACCCCCTAGTTGTTTCCTCTGCTTTCTGAATCAGAAAGCTGTCCCCTACACACACTAAGAATTTGCAGGGCTTATATGTTTTGCTGCAATAGTCTTCCAACAGATATCAGGGAAGTTAAAATCCCCCATTAATACTAGCTCATGTGCGTTAGCTAATCTTACCTACTTGTGGAATGACTCATCCACTTCCTCTTCCTGATTTGGTAGTCTATAATGGACCCTCACCATAACATTGCTACTGTTCTTTTCCCTTGTTATCCTCACCCAGAAACTCTCAGTGGGTCTGTTGCTCACGTCCCCTTGGATCTTGGAGAAAATGTATACATGCTTGACGTACAGCACAACGCCACCTCCTTTTTCCCCATACCTATCCTTTCGGAACAAGCTATATCCCTCAATGCGGTACGCCAATCGTGGGAGTTGTCCCACCAAGTCTCTGTGATGCCAATTAAGTCATAATATTCTTCATATACCGTGATTTCCAGTTCATCCTGATTGTTCCCCATACTCCTTGCATTTGTAAACAGGCATCAAAGATATTTTGCAGATTGCCCTGTTGCTTTTCTTTTTTCCTTTTTAATGCAGTCGTGATTTCTAGATCCTTCTCCTGAAATTAGCCACTTCCCCTTTTCTTCGTTACTTGAGCCTAGATGTGCATTGGCTGTACTTTTGTCACCATCCCCCATAAGACCTAGTTTAAAGCTCTCCTCATCAAGTTAGCCAGACAATGTCCAAAGATGCTCTTCCCAATATTTGGTAGATGGAGCTCGTCCCAGCACAGTAATCCTCATTCCTGGAATATCAGCTTGTTGTCAAAGAAGCCAAAGCCTTCTTGCTCACACCACTTGCATAGCCATGCATTTACTTCCACGATTCGATGGTCACTGCCTGGCCTTTTCCTTCAGCCATCTCCACACCATTGGTATATTGGGCAGCATCAGACCTGCTCTGCCTTTCCATTCCTAATTTCCCCTGTAATCCAGGGGCTGTCAGTTGCTGTGCCTTCTACATTGTCGTCTTCTGCTGCACTGTTGGCGCCATCTGGTGGGGTTGTTGGCTGTATCACTTGTTGGCACTGCATTACGCACCCTCCGGGGCTAGGACAGCAGAGTTGCAGCCATCTTCCTTTGTGGTAGTGAGGGGCACATTGACATGGATGCTGTCCTTGCTACAGACCCCTTCATTGGATTCAGTACTGACTTGCTTTCAGGACCCTCATGTGCCAGCTACAAGGGCGATGCCTCTCGTGATACCAACCACTCATGCATCCTTGGCACCAATGATTTCTTTGTTTGGTTCTGGACAAGGATGATAGTTTTTTTGATCTCTCAGGGGTGCGCTCCTCCATTTCCACTAGATGACTCCCAGGGCTCCTCAAGTTCTGTTGTGGGGATGACTACTTCTACTTCCCCCTCACCTTTGAAGCACTGTTATTGATCCTTGGATCACTAGTGGTACCAGGTTCAGCACTGTTCTTGCAGTAGGGATAGGGATCCTGGCCTACAACCTATTGGCCACCAATGCTTTACCCCTGTTCCATTGGCCTCCACGGAATCCTTGGGTTGAGCCTTGGTATGGGAGATCCTGCTGTTTGATGCAGTCCAGGTCAAGCAGGAGTTTCTATCCATGAGCCACTTCTATTGCAAGTGCAGTCAGAGGTTATTCTTCCTGAGCTGGTCCAGACTGAACCTCTTGTGTAGGAGCTGCCCCCGTCCCCAACAGCCTCCATTGGCCCTGCACTCTTCTTCTTCCCCTCTGGGTGACTCTGCAATACTGGATTCTTCCTCACTGGTGCCTGAGGACTTTGTCATACCAGGACCTTCTCAGGCATATAGCGTCCACCTCGGAGATCCAAGCTGAATACGGGCAAAAGAACATGTATAAGTTGCTGGATATCGTCCAGTCCTCAGCTCTGGGGAGAATGGCTCTCTCAATAAATGAAGCTCTTTTGGAGCCTGCTAAGTCCCTTGGGAATACCCCAGCATTGTTACAGCCTGCAGCTAAGTGGTGTGAAAAGTGGTATTATGTCCCTGTCACAGGGCAGAACAAGTTTCCTTCCCCTTGTCCCTGTGCTTGGGCTGGCAAAAGAAAGGGTCTCAGACACCTCTTGCAGGTGCTTCACCCGTGTTCTTTTATTTACAGTGGC